GGCTTGAGGACCACCATGATCTGGGAGATGGTATCCCACTCAGCTCTGTTAAGGGGGCCGCTGATCCCAGTCTCCCCGAGCAAGGCCATCTCATGGATGGCCTTCTGTTGCTCCACCAGCCTCTCAAGCATCAGATATGTGGAATTCCACCGAGTCTCCACATCCTGTATGATTTTGTGCTGTGGGATGTTCAGCTCTGCCTGTTTGTCCCGCAGCATCTTGCCTGCCTTGATGCTCCGGTGGAAGTAGCCTGCCACCTTCCTGCATTTGGAAATGAGCTTGCTGGTGGTGCTGGCACCATCACCGGCAGCCCTGTCCCCCTCCAAGGCGTCCTTGACAATGAGGTGCAACTTGTGTGCCACACAATGGATGCCAACAAAGTTGGCATAACGGACCACCTTGACCATATTGGCTCCACTGTTGGTGACCATGAACCCACGGATGAGCTCGCCCTGCCCGAGCCACCCCTGCACCAAGCGGCTCATGGCCCCCATGATCTCTGTTGCTGTGTAGGACTCATCCATCACCTCGGCTTGAAGGAGAGCCCATCGATGGCCTGACTGGTCGTACCAGTGCCCTGTGAGGGAGAAGTATGCATGATCTCCACCCTGGCTGGTCCAGATGTCCGAGGTGAAGTGTAAGGCCACCTGCGGACCTGCGTTGCGCAGTTCCTCCCTCAAGTATTCCCGACATGCCTCATACAGGGAGGGCACCACTGTCCTACTGAAGGTGGTACGTGTGGGCACTTGGTATGATGGGGCCACGAGCGCCATAAGCCGCTTGAACCCTGGCCGCTCAACTAAGGAGAAAGGCTGGTCATCCACAGCAAGCATCTCCCCAATGCTCTGGGTGATCTCACTTGCCTTTACAACCCCCCCCCCCTTCTGTCCGCCTTTCTCCCACTGTTCCAAGGTGGCCTGCCTCTGGTTTGGGGGGGCAGGGGCTTTAGAGCGACAGGGGGACTTCTTTTTGGGCATGCTCCCAGTGGTGCCAGGCTGAAGAGCAAGGGCAAGGGGATGGTGCCTGCGGAGATGCATCAGCATCCCCGTGGTGCTCATGTGTTTTGCTCCCTTACCCCGGCTGGTTTTGGTTCGGCAGTGCAGACAGATAGCATATGTAGGATCATCTGCCAGCTTAAAATGATCCCAGACCACACTACCCGCTCGCTTCTGGGGTGCAGGTACATGTGCGGATGCTGCCTTTTCCCCCTCCTCAGCAGGCAGAGGCACAGCAACAGGAGGAGTGGATTCAGCTGAAGCGCTTCCCTCCGCAACCTCTACCTCAACCTCCTCTGAAATGCCTTCTGGGGAAGGAGACCTGGCTATAGGGGAAGCTTGAGAGGTGTGGAACACAAATTCAGATGATTCCCCCTCCTTCCCCAGAATTTCTCTTGCTGTGGCACTCAGATCCAGATCTAGCTCTTCCTCTGGCACTGGAAGGCTCAGCAAGGGAACTGAAACAGGGGTTGAGGAGACGGTCATGCTGGTGCTGCTGCTTGTTGTCATGGTGGTGGTGGCGGTGATTATGGCTGGTGCTCTTGGAGGGGATTCAGACTTGTGCACAGGCAGTGGCACTGCTCCCCTCTCTTTGCTGCCTGTAGAATTGGAAGACTCATGCCTGCTTGTTGTAGCGAAGAGGCTACATCTCAGTTTAGGGGGGATGGGACTTACAGCTCTCCCTCTACCCTCTCTTCCACCCCTCCATGAAGGCTTGCCAGCTGCCTTTCCAGCATGCTTCATGGTGTGTTTCATTGCGTCTTTGGCTTGGTGTGCTGGAAAATCTGTGTGCTCTTCTGTAATGTAATCTGATTTATGTAATATATGTAGACAATTGTATATGTATGTGTATTCATGTAACGCATGCATGTATTTATGTAATAAATAGAATATATAAATATTGTGTGTTCCTGATTAAATTCTATATCACAATATGCAATATATACTGTGATTCCCTGCACAGTGAATGGAATGCACACTGTGAGAGAAAGCACAGATTTCTTTTCAGGGGGAAAAGAATCAAAATAGACTAACAAAAACAAAAAGAGGATTTTGGGGGAGGAATAAATTGAAAGGAATGAAAGACTGTAATAATAAAATTAAAGGGTATAGAAAGCAAAAGATACTGATGAATCCCACTTGCTATGGATAGGCTAGCAAGTAGGAAATGATAGTCTTTGTTGTTTGACACTGCTGAAAGACACAGCTCAGTAACTGAACCCACGGCAGAAAGCAGCTCAATTCAAACAATGCTGCTCTTTACAATATTTGTCCATCCCGCCCCAGAGCACTGGGATTGGAAAAGACCTCAGGGAAGGATCACAGTTGCTGGCCAGTTACACAGTCAATATGATAGCAGTCCTTCCCCACAACTTTCCCCTCCTTCTCCTTACTTTCTGTTCCCCTACAAACGAGTGCAGCAACAGCTTCGAAATGTTTCAAAACTTTCAAAACATTCTGACAGCCCTTCCTTGGTTTTGAGGCTGTTTCTAAGCCTTTCATTTCGATTTTGCTGTTTCAAGCTTGAAACGAGTTGAAAAAGTGTTGAAATGAAACAGCTGGCAAAGTTTCACACGGCCCTAACTTTCAGTATGTGATTTGTTTTTTTTCTGGTTCAAAGATGACATCTCCCCTCCCTAAAAGGAGTACTTCTGGGAACAAGGGGAGGGACTTCTGGTGGCAAACGTCAGGGACAGGAAGTCTGGTCTCAAGATGGTGACCACGGGCAGGGCATGTGTCAAGAGATGGGGCTACTCTTGAGGCCCTGGGCAGCTCACAAAACTCATTAAGGCGAAATAATTGCCCGGCCCCACATTAGGGGCTGCAATCCCCAGTGAGATCACAGCAGAAAAGAAGTCCTGATCCCTAGAGAACCTCTGGTTCCCTGAAGCTGCAGTTACCCAGGGATAGGACGACACTGTCCTTCGGATGCTCTGTAGTAACTTTCTCTAGCCGAATGCTCTGCAATAAATGAAATAAAACAGGGCAATACAGTATACTCCGTTTAACTGCATAAACTCAAAAGCGAAAGGCAATTCTGCACTTACACGGGATATGCGTTTAGCCAACGGGTAATGCCAGCAGTTACGTACACCATGCGACCGCCATGGGGTTATTAGGAGCCCCAGAACTGACGAACTCCTCTCACTGTCAAGGAAGGCTTCTACTATTCAGTTTTGTAGCTGTTATTACCAGGCTTAAAAAACAACAGTTGCACGTCCGTTTCAGTCATGGCGACACCCCGGCAATGACATCCCACATACTTAACCAGCACCGCTTATTTGGGGTGCACCAATACAGATTTTTTTCGGCCGATACCGACAGTCGATTTTTAAGGAGCCGTATCAGCTGATACCGATCCGACAATCAATATCTGGGTGGGCCAGAGGTGCACTGATGCATCAGATGGGCACCAGTGTAAGGAAAACTGACAGTATTGGCAATCGGCTTGTTTGGGCCGACGTGGCCAATAAATGCCCCCATGCAGATGAGCAACGCTGCACAGCCCAGCAGTGTTGGGCTGGTTAGTCTGTTGGGGAGGCGGGGGGGGGGGGGGGGGGGCGGGGC